GATAATCCTAGAACAAAAAATGCGCAGTGTTGGAATGTATAAGTATAGCCCACTAAAAATTACCTAAATGTTTATTAACATTCACACTGGAATAATACATACCTACCCTAAAAAATCAATTTACTTTACTTAGAAGCCCTAATTAAATCGGGCAGTATTACCTAACTTTGAAGCAAATATTTATAACAGCGATTCAACTAAACGTTTGCTAATGTAATCACAAATGAATCTCATATTTTATTTTTTAGTTATTGCACATTTAAACATTAATTGTTACTATTAATTTCCCGTTTATACAAAAAGTTTTCACATGAAAATGTATAGTTGGCACTTTGACACTGATATTGCGATTCATTTTAATAAGAGTACATGTTAATTGGTTACAGTTCAGCAAAATTATCGACAAATCAATTTATTATACCGTAAAAATAATGAATCAGGTAAAAAATACATCAAAAAACAAAATTACAAAGCTAAAAATCATTCAATAAAAAAATATTTAATATAATTTTTTTTCTTAAAAATTTTAGTCACCAAAAATTTAGGAACAAGTATGCTGCAGCTGGGCAGCGACGAAATCATTCAAATACATGCAAAAAATCGTAATTACAAACTTACAGAATTAAAAACACAGGGTGTACCAACAAATTTTTCTACAATTCATTTCTATAAATCAATGGTAGTGATGGAATGCTACTGAAGACTTTTTAATGGGAATTAAACCACATAATATAGTAAATTGAAAACTTCTAGAGATTTTAATTACTAAAAACTATTTAATGTTAGTAAACTGAAAGCAATTTATTGCAAACTCTGGTCCATTTACATTCAATTAAAGAATGAAGTTGACAGCTGTCAAAAACTATAAAGATCTATGGATGAAATTGACAGCTAGCTGTTTAGATTTAATTTTATAAGCAAACCGACTTACATTGAGGAATATACAGGGTTTACCAATGATAAATTGATCCCAGAGATTCAGAAACAAAGTGGGTTTTCAAAATTTAACAAACACGTCCACTTTTATTGGCAAGATGATGATTTGTCATATAAAATTCATGCGCACTTCAACCACTTATTTTGTTTTTTTAAATAGCAAGTATCATCTGACCATTCATTGCAGTTACTTTTGATTTTATCGCTTTCTAGTAGCATAAAAAACTATTACGCAATACCGTTAATGATAATCAACTAACATTACAAATTTATGTTACGCACGAAATCACTAATAAAATTATCTTCCAAATGAAGTATTACACTTTACAATACGTAATAGTTTTTTATCACGCTATGGTGCGCTAAAATCCAAAGCAGCGCAATTAATAGTCATATTGTTGAATTCATCATAAAATTACCTTTCAATTTATGTGGTACTTTACCAAACCAGTGGGTTGGATTTTTAGGTAGGAATTTATATGACAATTCGTCCCTTTGCCAATAAAAATTGACGATCAAGTTACCGTTAATACATCCTGTATATTAAACCGAGATTATGGAAAAAAGTTAATGTTTAAGGATATACTTTATGTGTAAATCAAATTTATTCAAAAATGACATTAATTTATCAAAAAAAAAAAACCTAATTATACATCTGTGGTTAGATGTCACGTTTTGATATGGAGGAAAAGGTAAAAATTAGTAAGCAATTATGTGATTTTGTCCACTTCCAAATGCTAAATAACTGGTTTTGAACATACGCAGTATATTCACCAACGAAATATATTCGCGTATGTCGTTTTATGCCAACATTCGCTTCCTTTCCAGAATAGTGACACAATCCAAAAAATTATAATTTTAAGTTTAATTCACAATTAAACCAAAAACCGCATAAACTTTAACAGGAATAATGTCATAATATTGTAGTTTTACAAAAATCCAAAAGATAACGCTAGTCATGTTCTTAAAAATTTAATTTAACAAGAATATCATCAATAAATCAGTTGATCGATATTATGCAAAAAGTAAACTTGTTTTGTTGGAAAAAGTGACATCGCTTATTTGCGAGAATATCGGCATAACTTAAAAAGCTTCAACTCGAAATAATCAAATATAATTGATTGATTTAATAGGGTAAAAACTTAAAAAGTATCAAAGGTAGTAGCGCCGTTAAGCGAATACCACTATTAACTACGGAAGTGTCATTGTTTATGTATAATGATTGAACCTTTCCAATTATGCTGATGCAACAACTTCAGAATTGATGATTTTTTAATTTTGTCGGTATTCTGGCAAATGAGAGACATTATCCAAAATGTTGCCAAAACTAATGCAGCATTATCAAGAAAAAGGACATATCTTGGAATAAGCCGGTCTTCCTGAAAATGTAAACATTAAAATACTATTTTTTAGACATATTGTTTCAATACAAAATTTGATGCTATTCCCACAATTGAAGTGAAGTCTATATTGACTGTTTCCGTATACGTCATTATTCTTTAAAATAGTTAAAAGTTTGACATTGCTATAGCAAAAATTTGTTAGTTTGACTGTTTTAAAATAGGTCATTATTCTTGAAAATATTTTCACGTTTTCTGTGTTGTATTTCAAATTGTGACCGCTCTTATAAAAATTTAATTTTTTTTGATGACGTTTGATTATAGATATATTTTATAAAATAAAAATTTATTTGTATTATAACGAATCCAATTTTTGCTTTTTAAACTCTATTACACATACATTTTTAATAAAAAGACACACCCAGAATAAAGAGGATGCGTCCACTCAATAATTGAGGAAGATTAAAAAAAAATAAAACATTCGCTTCTTTTCCAGAATAGTGACACAATCCTAAATATGTTATTTTTGAGTTTAATTAAAAAATTCATAAATATTAACAGGAATAAAATATTATAAAATTGCAATTTTATAAAAATTCAAACAATGGCGCCAGAATATCGTGATTAATTCAGTATTTATTATTCAAGGAATGTACTTGTGTTTTGTCGGGAATAGTAACATATTATCGAAAATGTTGACAAAACTGTTGCAGTATTATCAGGAAAAAAGACACATCTTGGATTAAGCCAGTGTTCCTGAAAATGTAGGTATTGAAATAATTTATTTTTATATGGTTTTAATGAAAAAATTTGACACTATTCCCAGAACAGAAGTTTCTGGGAAAAAGGTCAAAACATTCAAAGAAAAGCAACGAAATATTATGTTCAGTGTTACTAAGATGAGTATACGGTATACCTTTTTTTCAAGTTTGTTCAAGGTGGACTACTTCTCCAGAATGTCTATCGTCCAAAAATGACTTTTCATGAAAAGTCTTATCACTGTTATTTTGGAGAAGAAGCGATATAGAACTGCATAAAATGACCAAAAATTAACACATGGTTTTTTAATACATTTGTTTTAAATGTCATTTGTCATTAATTCAGTTGATTGGTATTATGCAAGGAGTTAGCTTGTGTTTTGATGGAAATATATTCAAGAAATGTACTTGCGTTTTGTCGAGAATAGTGACATATTATCGAAAATGTTGCCAAAACTATTGCAGTATGGCCAGGAAAAAGGACATATCTTGGAATAAGCCGGTGTTCCCGAAAATGTAAGTATTGAAACACTTTATATTTTTATATTGTTTTAATAAAAAAATTTGACACTATTCCCACAACAGTAGTTTCTGGGTCAAAAGATTAAAAAAGGGGAATGAAATATTATTTTGTGTTACTAGGATACTTTATACTTTTCTATCAAGTTTATTCAACTTTTCCAGACATGTCTGTTGGACTAGTTCAAAAATGACTTTTCATGAAAAGTCTTATCACTACTATTTTGGAGAAGAAGCGATATAGAACTGCATAAAATACAACAGGCAATATTTATATGTTAAAGTGACCAAAAATGGTTTTGCCATCTAACCACAGAAATAAGAAAGAGTAATAAGTACGTGACATTTTTTATCTGACATGACAAGTGACAAAACTATCCCGAACCTATAAAATTCATATTTTCTGAACGTTAAACAAGATAGATGTTGACAGTTGGCAGCAAACCGCTTATATTTCATTTGTTTTAAATGTCACTTGTCTGTCATTTTCGATAACACAATTTAACTGGGTACTACATGTAATTGTCACTTTTGACAAATAATTTTTACATCAAATTTGTCTTTCAATAGTGGTGGTTAAACTTCCATAAAAATTCTCAGTAGAAAACTTTAACACATTTCAAAAATTTTAAATCTAAAATGATCGTATTAATTATAATTAGTACACCCTATAAATATATACCGCATTTACTAAGGTTTATAACCCATATTCATTAAAATCACACAATAACTTAAAATCTAATCACCCTTTTTTTTTTCAATGTTTCGACCGACAAATAATTTTACACAATTATTTTATACAATTTGTAAAATTTTGCGGCCAACATTTAATATCAAATTCTAATGCACACTACTAACAGATATTCATATATAACATTGTCAAACCTCTAGGTGTACTTGCTAACATTCAATATTTTTTTTATATATTTTCTAGTTACTAAAAGTTTGTCAGATATACCAAGAAAACCCACGTGTAAGCGGTGTATCTAATTTCTTTTGTTTCAAGTGTACCTACAAGAAACGCACAAAAAATTGTGATTCTATTAATGCCTGTATTTCCTAAGTTATTAGTTTTATTAGGATTTATTATTAATGTATAAAATTTCGTATTATTTTGCTCTTTCTAGCTTTTCTTGGTCTTTTTAATTCATTTATATGTATTAATAAACCCTGCACCAATTATAGATATCAATTAAATCGAATGAAAATGTGCTGAAATTCGCGCAAACACTGGAAAATACGAGATTATTATAAAGTACATACCCACATATATTTTCGTTTTATAATTCATGGCCACCACGATCGCCTGATCTTAGTCCAGCAGATTAGCTTAATAAATGCATATCCGTTACTTTATGACAACCTCGTATAACACACATTATTTGTCTCTCTGATACAATTAAAATAAAAAATCTATGTTTATCCCCCTTCACTAGAAACTTCAATGAAATGAAAATGCATGAGAAATCTTAAAAATTAGAAATACTTTTTTTATACCATTTAAAGATAGAAATAAATATAATGTGTATTGTGCAATTCAATGTAAAATATGTATAATATTAATATTATTTATTTAATCACAATTAGAAATTTTAATATTTCTTTCAATTTCTTTTATAAATAAAATTTTCGACTAACTTATGGAATCACAATCGAAAAGGGTATTTTACAATTTACCCCTAACATAACCCAAAGGGTAGTAAATATTTTGATCATTCGTTTTACCAATAATATGTAATTTTAATTTTCTTTTTCTAAAGTCTTCTCGAATCATACTACGTTAAATACCAACTTTCCTCAAATACTACAGCGCTTCAACTGCTTCAAACGTATCCACACATCGATCTAAAAAAGATAATTACCAAATTTGTCATAATATTTCCAACATGATAAATTACCAATCCGGTAAATCAACAGCGAAAGATAATATAATGATTTAAATAGTTTACATGGTCTTTCGAGCCGGATTATGACCGTTCATAAACTACAATGAAGAAAAACAATATTTACGAAAGGTCAACTATTTAGGCAATATCGTTATATCCCAATATGACAAATCTAAAAACCATTCATTTGCCTGCAAATGAAAAATAACCTCCGCCTCCAGTGTGATACGAGTTTCTCGATAGGAGATAAGTAGAAAAAATTTAATCACTAGCAAAAATTCCGACGGAAAAAATACTAATTTTCTCCGTTTCGTCACACTTGTGGCACGTTATTATCGCTACTATTTACATCTAAGTTTGTGTGCGCATTCGTACTCGACTCTAAATCTAATCTGTTGGGTTTTGATGTGATCGATTTGGTTAATTCGCTAAAATTGGGTTCCGTGTTCGATGTCGGAGAATCCATGATGGTTAGTCGCAGAGTGGGATCGTCCAAGACTAACCTGGAGTCTTCGTCTGTGCTGTCGATCGAGGAGGACCTGTCTCCTGATAAGCGACCGCTCGGGAACACTCCTTTGGTACGTTCCAACCGGAAAACCTAAAAATAACGAATCATAAGAACATGTGGAAACATTTTATAAAAAGGACGCCTTATTTAAATGATTTAATACAATAATAAACTTTTGTTTTAAAGATGATATCATAGGGCAACTATAAATCAAAGTAAAATACCCTAATAGAGGTTATAATTAAAAATTATTCAAGATTAATGTTTCAACATCCGTGAAAAGAGTCTCCACTTAAGAGTTATAGCTCTGTACGCTCAACTTTGGTTTCAGGATAAATTCACAGAAGGTATTTTCTCTAATACTCCCACCTCAAAAAAACAGATTCCATTGCATTCGTAATTAGCGCACGAAATGCATTGGACAAAAATTGTTTTAAAACGTTGTGCATTGTAATGTTATTAACATATTTTTTTATTTAATGAAAAAACTAATCAATAAAAACAATATTACAAAATAAATACTTCTACAATGTCGTAGACTCATAATGAAATCTGTCTTTTCTTGAAGATCCTAGTTATATCATGAAGAGTCGATATAGTAAAAACATAAAGCTACACAATCTGCCAAGGCTTTTCATGAAGAGCCCATAGCGTTTTGGCGAATTGTGTAACACAACCTGCCTAAATTAAAATATTGCCGTTTCATGAAATGAGCACAAAGGCAAGGCATATTGTGTTTAAACACATCCCCAACTAGTCAATGATAAACGTGTATTTGTTGTGAAGCCAAGGCCTAAATCATTCCAACTCTAAATCGTATTGAGAAAACCGATATGTTGGCGTAACATTGCTATAGTCTGAATAAAAGAGGAGTGCAGTAAAACAGGGGATATAACATTACATTCCATAGGGGTACTTTGTAAAATAAATTTCTATAATAGGTTTGTTCGGGTTTCTTTAAAATTCGATGCAAACCGACCAAGAACCAGTGGAACTGTTGAATTTCAAATTATTCGTCACGTACAACACACAGTTTGTTTACAGTTGGTTTACTTGTATATTGCCAAAACGCATCTGAGTTGGTTATTCACCCTGGTGCTCCTAAATACAAACCTATCAAGTGGGGACTTTTTATAGACTCATCAAAGAAATGATGTTCTATCTACTACACCATGAAAATTTATATCCATCTGTTCCTGTTGGTCATTCAACCCAGCTAAAAGAAAATTGGGAAAACCTTGAAAAATTGCTTTTAAGAAAAAACTATAAGCATCACAACTGGATTTTATGTGGCGCCCTTAATATTTTAACATTGCTTTGGGGTCAACAATGCGGATATACCAAATACTCATGTGATCTATGTGAGTGGGACAGCAGAGCAAGAGATGACCACTTAAACAAAAAAATATTGCCAACCAAGAAAAATGTAACACCTGGCTCCAAACATATAATTCGGGAAAGCCTAGTTAACTCCGAGAAAATTTTATTATCCCCTCTTCACATAAAATTGGTACTGATGAAACAATTTATCAAAGATTTAGACAAAAATGGAGTTTGTTTTAAGTACTTGTGTGAAACATTTCAGAGTCTTTCTGAAGTTAAACTAAAAGAGGCTTTTTTTATTGGGCCACAAATAAGAAAGTTAATGAGGAAGATGAAAAACAAGCATGGGCAGCATTAAAAGAAGTTGTAAATAAGTTTCTAGAAAACTACAAAGACCCAGAATATACAAATATTGTTGAAAACATGCTGGATAGGAAGTTAGGCCGTATGAGTGTAAAATTCATTTTCTATATACTCATCTTGACTATTTTCCGGAAAACTTTGGTGATGTCAGTGAAGAGCAAGTAGAACGATTTCATCAAGTTATTAAAGGGAAGTTGGGATGTTAAAATGATGGCCAACTACTGTTGGATGCTTAAAAGAGACCTTCTAACAGCCAAATATACACGAAAAACAACGAAAAGAAGCTTTCCTAGATATAGAAAGAGCCTTTAACTCGTTTTCATACAATTCAATACTGGGATATATGCACAGGCGTGAAGTAGCCCACTGCATTACGAGGTGGGTTGAGTTCATGCTAAATCATAGAACCATTACCAGTAATCTCCTTAACACAACAAGAGAGGTCTCAGTCCTCAGTCCTCTTATGTGAACCTTGGTGGTTGATGACCTCTTATGGGAGTTAGAGAGAGAACTTATACACGCAAGCATTTGCAGACGGCATAAGCATCGTAGTAAATGGTAAATGTTGGTCTGTTGTATCCGAAAGGATGCAGCGGGCACTAAATATCGTCGAAAGATGGTGCCTAAAAGATGGATTGTCCACAAACCCGACAAAAACCTCTATTGTTGCATTTACAAGAAAAAGGAACCTTCAAGGAATGAAGGAACTTTTATCGTCGAAAGATGGTGCCTAAAAGAGGGATTGTCCACAAACCCGACAAAAACCTGTATTGTTGCATTCACAAGAAAAAGGAACCTTCAAGGAATGAAGGAGCTTTATATGTGGGGACAACAAATTAAAATGGAGAAAGAGGTTAAATATCTTGGAATCACTCTTAATGACAAGCTTAGCTTCTGCAGCCATATATAAAAAACAACAGAAAAAGCTATAGGAATACTAAGGACCTGTAGACGGATGGTAGGGAACGTACGGGGGCTTAAACCAAGTATAATGCACTGGCTTTACGCTATAGTTGTAGTTCCTGTTATAAATTACTCATCAGTCACATGGTGGCACAAGACTAATAGCATAACAGCTAACAGACAATTAGACAAGGTGCAAAGACTAGCCTGTCGAATAAAACCAGGGGCATTTAGAACTACGCCCACAGCAGCAATGGAGCTACTGCTAAGTCTTCCTCCACTACACCTTGTGGTGGAGAAGGAGGCTATGGCGGCGGCATACAGACTGTTTACTAATGGATTTAGATGGGAACTTTCGAGAAAAGGACACCACACAATGATATTAGAGAAATTAAAACAAAATCCGGTACTAAGAATGCCATAGGATAGAACGCCCATTATTCACGACTTCAGGAAACCTTTCGATATTCAAATACCAGAAAGGGCCAAAAGTCGGGAAAATAGGAGAAAACAAAACGAATCAATCTGGTATACAGACGGTTCGAAAATGAAAAACAGCACAGGAGCCGGGATCTACCACGTGAACTCAGGGAGGACAATTAGTTTGAACCTGGGGTCACTGACAACAGTCTTCCAGGCTAAAGTAACAGCAATAAATGCCTGCGCCAAAGTAATGGTAAATGACTCTTTTAGAGATGAGGATCTTTATCATGACAGACAGTCAGACAGCCCTTAAAGCATTGAAAAGGGACGAAATACAATCTAAATCAATATTTGATTGCCAACAGTCCCTCCAGACCCTGGCAGAACATAACAAGGTCATCCTTGAATAGGTGCCAGGACATGAGGGAGTGTTTGGAAACGAGAAAGCAGACCTCCTAGCAAGGAAGGGAGCGGAAAAAACTTTTATTGGACCAGAACCCACATGTGGTATCATCTCATAGCAACATGTTAAATGGGTGTTAAAGGAACAAATAAATAGAGAACACCATAGGCTCTAATTGGAACTTTCTGGACTTAGACAATCCAAAGGATTCAGAGAGGGGCCATTCACGAGCAGACAACATCAACTGCTAAACATTAGCAGAAGCGAACTCAAGGCCGTACATAGGACTCCTTACGGGACACTGCGGCCTTAGAAGACACCTAAATCTCTTAGGAATATCTGATGACTCCCTATGTAGAATATGTGAAGAGGAGGACGAACCGCCTATTCACATACTACGCCACTGTCAGGACCTTAAATGGGAACGGGAATAGTATCTGGGGTCAATATCCGGAACCTGAAAAAATCGCGAAAGCGCCCATCAGACATATTCTTGAATTCATCAAGGAAATCAATCTGATGTGATAGAAACTGTGAGAGGTACAATAATAAGCCTAGAGCTTCAGTACAAGTGGGCTTTGAACCACGCTCTAATTCAGATAGATAGCTTTACCGGAAAAGGAGAAAGATTTTCCAAGAAGATAAAGGACGTATGTTATTCTTGTATTATTTGCGCGGTTTTATTATTTGCTTTGTTGGTTTTATTATTTTTCTTGTTTGTCCTAAATATTTATAAATATTCTTACTTTTTACATTGTTGTACTATTTTTCATAAAAACCATACATGATAGAAAAAAAAACTGAAAATAATTTTGAAAGCAGCATAACTTAAATACCCAATACCAGTTGAAAACAATCCCATTCACATTTTATAAAGTAAAAAATCGCAGGTCTGAGTAATCAAAGAATTAATTATATTTTTAAATGTGGCAAGTGACCATAAAACACTGCAGATAACAGGACAGGTACAAGGTTCTAATTATTATTAAGAGTTTTTAAATATCGTTTCATTCAACATGGCTACATTTTAGTAAACCGGTCTTACCAGGATCAAGGAAGCCGACATTAAGTTTATACTCTGATTTATAATTGCTCTGTAATGATACGTAGAGGTGAAAAAATAGTAGTAGCTATAGTTCTTGTCCTCTTTAGAAAATAAAAATAGAAGCTTTCAATCAATCAACCAATAACTTCAATAAAATTATGATTTGATCAAAAACGAAAATATGTTGAGTAAGTAGGTTACTGCCTGGGATTTTTAACATAATTTCAATTAAGGGACACATACTCTTTTACAGTCTACATTAAGATTGAGGAGGGATTGAAAATTGAAACATAGTAGTGATTAGGAGGATATTGTGATGCGGAACGGAAAAATCATCTTAATTAGTGATAATTTTAACTTTCAGACATAAACAACTGAAAACATTTAGATAATTTCATGCAAACTATTTTAAATAATAAAAAAATATTCACTATGAGTATTATAACAATTATTAATTACATAATAGTATAAAAACAAACATGCAAATCAACTTTATTTTCAAATGAGTCAAATTATACCTAACAGTTACGAATAACAAATAACCATTATCTCATAATTCTGATGAAACTCATGTTTTCTTACAACAACAATTTGTGACTGTAATTTTATAATTTGGAAATTTCAAGTATTATCCATCTTGGTTCAAAGTAAACCGAAATAGATTCAATAAATTATAACCTTTTTTGTAAGATTGGGGTTTTATCTAGTTATATGATTTGTCAGGGATACTATGTGTTTTAAAGTTGAGTTATTGGATTATATAAGGAAGGATCAAAACTAAGATAAGAAAAAAGCTACGAAATGGACTAAACTAATTTATATTATACTATCAATAAAGTTTAGTGTATACAAAAGTAACATTAAACTATTAAAAAACGAAAGAACTGTGTATGTGCTGAACTACACATAATATCTTCAATTCTAATTAGAAAACCAATAATTAAAATACAACTTAAACGTGTTTTTCATCAACATTTGTTAAAATCTACAAGCACACAGAAAGTAAAAATGAAAATATCGAAATACTAAACATCTAAGGAAACAATATGTACATGTACGTGATGTCTACAAATATCCAAACAAAAAAGCCAATTTCTTGCATGCATCCAAAATAGATAAATAAATTTCCATAATTTGCATTAACTGTTTTTTTCCATAATAAAGTCTACAAAATGTGTACAGATGTTATAGGTATTTTAAAATAAGTGTGATGGACTTTTATATGGACAAAAACTTGGGGGACACACAAAAATTAAAACAAGCAAATGATCCTTACACTTATTCGAGCCATCTCCAGGGCTCAGTGTCCGGGCTTGTGATAGGCGTGGGAAACTAATTAAAATGTTATTAGCATAATTATTTGTGCAAAAAACACGTGGTTAATACACTTAACGATAGATAATATTGTTGGCAGAATTTTAAAAATACATTTCTTATCTATTTTTAATTATGGTGAATGTCAAACTACAATAATGTTTACTATTGATTTATAATACTAAACTATGAATTATAATGTTATTATTATATTTATAACTGGAACGGCCTCTAGAAGTAAAACGGCACAGCTAATTCTGCCGATGCATCAGAGACAACTTACTAAACGAATAATTACGGTCGAAAATTATTCATTTTATTCGTACATCATGCGATTTCCTTCTATTTAACCTATTTTTCATAAATCGATTTTTATCGTGCAACATGAAAGGTGAACGCAGGGGGAGTCCACGGATCATAGACACTACGGTGGCCTCATCCCCGTTGCTAAGAAAGGAGTGACGTAACCGAACGAAAAAGCCAGTTAACCTAAGTTCGTACATAAGTTTTTTTTTTATAATCTGTAATGTTATTGTTATTTAGTAAAAATGTGTCTTATCAAAAATAAAAAATTGATGTATCCGAGCATTTTTCACAATTTTCTAAAATAACACAAATATTATTTTGTTTTATAAGTTGTATCCCATTGTATAATGTACAAAATATAATATTTCAAATATCCCGCAGTTCTCGCTAAATAACGTACAACGCCACCTGCTTTCACCTTTCGTGGCGTAGAGAGCAAAAAAATTTTAAACTTCGGGCATATTTTTCTTATTGACTTAATCGTCTCATGTTATCTCTGATATCATCATGTCAGTCAAATTAAATGTGATGAGTAATTTATATGCCACTCAATTTATTTTTCAGTCAAACAGCGCTTACTTTGTATAATAATACCGATGCTGTCAAATGTTTTTCTTTATTGCAGCTTACGAAAAAATGCAACGTGTTGCTACATCATTTATCGGTTTCCTTTTGATATTATACCAAATTTACTTTGGATAAAAATGCTAAAAAGTTTTATACAAAAATCCGCGTTTGAATACGGAATTACGTGTTCTTAAAAAAAAAACATAATTTCGTGTTTGAAAAGGGAAATTCTGTGTTCGAATACGGAAATTCCTGTTTAGCATAAGTCCGTGTTAAAATTCGGAATTCCGTGTTTGAATGCGTAATTCCTAGTTTGAATGCGGAATTCCATTTTTAAATGCGGAATTTCATTTTTAAATGCGGAATTTCATTTTTAAATGCAGAATTCCGTGCTTTAAAAGGGAATTTTGTGGTTGAATAAGGAATTTCCTATTTGAATAGTTAATTTTCGTGTTTGAGCTCGGAATTTCATGTTTAAAGAGGGAAATTCTTTATTTAAACACGAAATTCAGTATGAAAATACGGAATTTCATATTTTCTCGTTTCTGTGTTCGAATACGGAAATTTGTGTTTTGCGTAATGCCTTGTGATTATGGAATTCCGTGTTAGAATTCGGAATTCCCTGTTTTAATGAGTAGGGAAATTCTATATTCAAACACGAAATTCCGTATGCAGATACTAAGATTCATATTATTGTGTTCGAACACAGAAACGAGAAAATATGAAATTCCAATGAATTTCATATTTTCCCTATGTAAACAAGAAAGTCTGAGCTCAAACACGAAAATTCACTATTCGAACAGGGAATCCGTATTCAACCATAAAATTCCGAATTCAAACACGGAATTTCACATTCAAATACGGAATTAGGAATTCAAACTAGGAATTGTGCATTCAAACTAGGAATTACGCATTAAAACAGAATTCCCTGTTCGAATAGGAAAATCCCTTATTCAAACACAAAATTCCGTATGCAAACACGGAATTTCATATCTTTTGGTTTCTGTGTTCGAACACGTAAATTCATCTTTTGTGTAATTCGAAATTCTGTGTTTGAATGCGGAATTCCTAGTTTGAATGAAGAATTCCTAGTTTGAATGCCTAATTCCGTATTTGAATGTGGAATTCCTTGTTTGAATTCGGAATTTTATGGTTGAATACGAAATTCCCTGTTCGAATAGTGAATTTTCGTGTTTGAGCTCGGAATTTTGTGTTCACATAGGGAAATTCGTTATTCAAACACGAAATTCCGTATGCAAATACGGAATTTCATATTTCCTTGTTTGTGTTTTGAACACGGAAATTTATGTTTAGCGTATTTCCGTATTTGAATATGGAATTCAGAGTTCGAATTCGGAATTCTGTGTTTGAATGCCTAATTCCGTATTTGAATGCGGAATTTCGTAGTTGAATAAGGAATTCCTTGTTCGAATAGGGAAATTTCTTATTCAAACACAAAATTCCGTATGCAAATACGGAATTTCATTTTTTTTTTCTGTGTTCGAACACGTAAATTCGTCTTTTGTGTAATTCGGAATTCTGTGTTTGAATGCGTAATTCCTAGTTTGAATGCACAATTCCTAGTTTGAATGACTAAATTCGTATTTGAATGCGGAATTTCGTGTTTGAATTCGGAATTTTATGGTTGAATACGGAATTCCCTGTTTGAATAGTGAATTTTCGTGTTTGAGCTCGGAATTTCGTGTTCACATAGGGAAATTCTTTATTCAAACACGAAATTCCGTATGCAGATACTAAGTTTCATATTATTTCCTTGTTCGAATACGAAATTACGTATTCGGACATGGAAATTCCTTATTAAAACATGGAATTTTGCATTCAAATATGGAATTCCCAACACTGAATTTCGTATTCAAACATGGAAATTCCTGGTTCAAAAACGGAATTCCGTATTCAAACATGGAAATTTCCAATTCAAACAAGGAATTCCGTATTCAAACAAATTTAGAAAAAAAGTTTTCCTAACGGCGTTGTATCAATCGAACATATTCGATATATACTAATGTTTAAACACAGCGCATGGTAATAGTAGTTTGTGCACCAAGAGTGGATACGGACAATCCACTCAAGTTGTATAGTATATTTTTTCTTCGAACCACTAACGAAAATTCACAAATTTTAAATTTAAATTTAGATTAAGGATAAAATAACTAATTTAAAAATAATTTGACTTTACTAATTTTTAAAATAAAATAAACTAAAAAAAAAGATTTTATTTTTCTTTAATCCACCCCCGGACATTTTAATACTAATAAATAAACTAATTTTATATAGTTTTATTAAAATTTATGATTTTTTGTAAATTTAGACGAATATATTGTGAAATGCTATTATTTATCGATTCTTCACAAGAATAACTCTTTTTAATTATATTTAATCTAAATTTGAAGCTTTTTACTTTCCTAAATTAAACTTTATTTCTTGTTAAATTTACAAAAGTATACCTGTTTGTATCACCTTCACAATGACAGCTAGATGGCGCTGTTTGACAATTCTACGAAATATCTGGTTTTGTTTGATCACTTATATTTACAGTCGGAACCTACAATTCTCTCAATATGTAATAATACTTTTTCTACGAGATTTGATTTTGGTCCTAAAAACCTTTTTTTTTTTTCTCAAATGCAAACTTGTAAGGCCTCGCAGTTTATGACAAAGTCCACATCAGTGATATGCTAAACTAATTATTAATAATTACTGCCAACAATGTACTATTATTTACAAAATTTAAGCGAAGCGTGTACTTATAAACACAAGTGTATTTATAATTTTTTAGCGATAAAACAAAATCATTTTTACAACTCACCTCTGCTTGGAGATCGGCTACTTTATCTTGAAGATCTCTAACCTTATCGCTAGCTTCTACAGAATGAATTCTTAGCTCTCCTTCAGTGGCTATTTCTTGGCTCTGAAATTTTAAAACAACCCCCCAAACTTTTTAGAAAATCTTATTCATTCGTGTTGTTTGTGCCGACAATCGCGCCTTTTTTTTAGTAATTAATCGATAAGAGGGGCAAAAGAAATTAGAAATTTTCTGAAAGAACTTTGTGGGGATTCCCTTACCTCTAGCTAAAATAAATCGACTCCAAGAATACTACAAGACAAAAGAGTTTAATATCTTCATAAATATATAATAATATTTATCCAACAAATGGCAGCCATTTTAGATAAGTAAACTATCAAATAACACACTAGTCTATTACAATAGATAACTCACTAGTGATTTATGGATTATATAACTCACTAGTGAGTTATGGATTATAACGTTCATTAAAGTAGTATTCTATTTATTTATTACTATTACAAGCAGAATTCACATTGATATTGAAATTAAAGTGTATCATGTCCGTGGCAACCAAACAAACACCCTACTTTGACCAAAACGTAAAAAAGTCACTGTCAAGTCATTCTGACATTTGTAGGGTACTGAGACACAAGTAGATTTGATTTGATCACAAATTATTATCTCATAAAAAAAACTATTTCTTCCACTTGTTTGTTGGATAAAACATTGTATGCCACTCGTGTGTTATGTTTCCTAAGTCACTTGTATACATAACACACTAGTACCATAAATAACTATTACTTTAATAAAATTAGATACAATATTCTTTATTATTTTATAACATAAATCAATGCTTTTGTTGGATAAAACATTGTATGCCACTCGTGTGTTATGTTTCCTAAGTCACTTGTATACATAACACACTAGTACCATAAATAACTATTACTTTAATAAAATTAGATACAATATTCTTTATTATTTTATAACATAAATCAATGCTTTATTTCTGTTGCAACTATTTACCAACACTAAATAAATATTTAAAGTCCCACTGGTCTAATGAATCGTGCGTAGAAGATATAAATTTAAATATTTTTGTTTTTTAATGTTAAAAGACTATTTATATAAATTGAAAAAAGTAATGGACCTAAAACTGTACCTTGTGGTACTCCAAATTTTATTTGTAACGAATTACTAAAATAGAAATAGAAAACCTATCCACTCACAGTTCAAAGAAAATAAACAACCTCATATTAATTTTTCAATAAGATCTTCTTACCTTCATTTCCAGTTGACTCATTTTCTGCATAAGTTCAGCAACGGCTTGCGTTTTCTCTGCATCGCTGATTTTGGCCCTCATCAGTTCGTCTTTCATCTTAGTTTCGAGATCCGCGTATCTCCTTTGCTCTTCCAGCAATCGGGCGGCGGCTTCTTTGTCTCTAGTTTCGGCTAATTCGATTTGCTCTAGATGCTTCTTCATCTCCTCGTCTTGTCTTCTAAGTTGATTCGTACTAACTTGGACCTGCGTTTCTAGTTCCATAACCTATTGGTAACGAAAAACATGGTATACATTTCTAGATAAATAAAGAAATCGAATGTTTACCTTTAACCTCAGCTCCTTTACTTCCGTTAAGGTTTCCATCTCTCTTATTCTCGTCGTCATAAGCTCTTCTTCTAACTTTAGAGTTTCGTTGTGACCCAATTTTCCGAACAGAAGCTTTTTGGGTGTACTTAAAGGATCTGGCGGTGGAGGCGGGTCCAGTTTATGGTCCTAACAAGAAAATAAAACTAAAACTTGACGATTTGACCATTTGACATGTTTCGTACCTGTAGGTGTTTCTGCCACTGGTCACTCAACTCGGAAACTCGATGTCTGAGATCTTTCAACGATAGATTAGCTTCAGCTTCTCTCAATTTCACGGCTATCAATTCTTCTTGAAGATGAGCCACGCTATTATCCGGGGTTATTTCTCTCAACGTTTTCTTATCCTCTTCTAGCTCGTGTATTCTAGATCGTAGGTCGCGTATCAAAGCGTCGTTTTCGGCTTCCCGTAACCTCACTTTGACCAATTCTTCTTGAAGGCATTCTATCATCTCTTCTCGTTGCTGGAGCTGTTCTTGTTTTATGGTGATCTCTTCTATAGAAGATTGACGCGAAGTGTGCTGAAAAAACAATTAAAGATATTTTATGTGGAATTGATTTAGAGTTTTTCTTATCTTCCAGATGACTACATTTCTGCAGTTGGATACCCTTCTGCATTAATTTAAAAATTAAAAAAAAAAATACATATTATTAACCATAACTCAGGTGTCGGCAATCAGCGTCTCACCATTAGTTTTTGTGAATCAACAAAACGCTGGTACCACCTGGAACTATAAAGCTGTTATATCCGAACTTCTATTTTCGATCAAGGACATACTGAGCCAAGCATCTTGGAGTAGTCACGTTGTGTGAGGTTATATGTTCAATAATGAATGTTATCAAGGGAAAGTACAGGACAAGAAGTTGACCGATGACAATTTAACAAACATTCTAAGGATCTCTGTATCGGAAAAAGATGCCGACTTGAATGACTTATCAAAAATTACAGGTGCTAACTATATATTGGGACAATATAAAGTTCAGCTTCAAGATTAGGCTTTTTTGAATCAGCATGATGAGGCAGATTGTCATACATCCAAAATAAAAATTAAAAATTGTTTATCACAACCTAATTGTTCTTTCTTGTCCTTCCAATAGTCATGTCCTTCATATCTTTGAAACAGCATTGCATAAAACAAAACAGATATTAAAGAACGAGTCACAACGGACATTACCAGAACTTTAAGCCGAAATAAAGCAGATTTTGAATGGATTTCTCCCTTAAAATTGCAGATCTTTAGTTGATTCAATGCGGCGAATAAAATTTTAAAATTTTAATAAAATTATCACTAAATATTTGTTTTCAGCTGTGCGGTCCTTCTAAGTAGTTCATTGTCCTGAAAAAGGTTACCAACTCCTGCCGTAAATAAATACTGAATACGCCTCTGTGCAAGCGCGAGCCCTTAGTATTTAAAATGCAGTCGCACCGGAAGTGGGCAATACGCCATATTAGTGTGACGCAATTTTGTTTCCACTGACAGTTAATTTCTAACCAAACTTTTGACAAAAACATAATTGAATTTGACATATACGTTTTTACTGTTTTTAGTGTTTTTTTCCTAATTATTAGGTTTGTTCCAACAGCTCCTTTCTAATGTGTGATGTGCATGGATGCATTCGTAAACTAATGACTGCGCATGTCAGTCCGTTTATTTGTCCGTTGTATTTATTGGAACGCAAATGCAAAATACATTTATTTAGCTGTCTCGAACGCTCTATGTGAATGAAACCTTAAGATGTTTATTTTTATTAAAAATAAGTACGTATTTTAAATAAAAAAACCGTACACAAGATAAAAACAAAAATTATTCATTTCAATTGAAAGAAATATAAACCCAAGCCACTCCAAAGCTAACTTAAAATCCCAACAATTACAAACAAATAGCACGAACGAGAAGAGACGTTCAAATGCGCATGTGCTGATAAATTATACAAGCGATGAAGCTCTGATCGATTTGACAATCCGCAGACTCATTCATGTACGAATCAGAAAATACGTTGGAACGTTTTACTGACAGTCACATACTTTGTTTTTTCTCTTACTATACGGAGAAATGTCGCACTACGCAGCTTTCTGAGTGCCTTTTAAAAGGAGTTAGAAAACTCCGCCATTTTGATGTCTTATTACGTGTTGCCTACATCTTGGCGCAATATTTTTAATATTTTGCTTGCTGCTGTCAGTGTCAATGAACAAGTTTTGAGGATGTATATATCATTTTGTGTTTTAGACGTGATTTACACGATTATTTTTAATTAATTGGTGATTGTATGTTAATTTTTAGTGCTTTATTGCTCTCTTTTCATTGTCTAAATAGCAGGATGTATAGACTACCAGTTTAACATTTAGGAAATATATGTGTTGCCTAACCTAGTAGTAAAGGCACAGTTTATTGCTAAAAAAATGAGTTAGCTCACTCGGACCAGTTGAATATTCCAAAATAATATCCACTCCAGGGATACAAATTCAGGATGCGCAGAAGACTGCTGTTTGAATATAGGCGATTGTCATATATTGTATTATCCAAGTTGCGCAGTGTATAAACTGGAACATTGAGATCAAAAGTGCCGACGCAGAGTAAGCGAACTGATTCTTTAGCTATAAACTGTGGTAAAGGCATCAAAATGGCCGCGCCCTATGTTGGGCGTTTCGGACCTCTCTTTTTCGCCGTATAGTAATTAAAGTATGTGCTGACAGTTCATCGGATTATTCGTAACTTTGTAGGAACGGACTATTTTTATTGCGCATGCGTCTGACTACCTTTTGATGATCAGATTCGCTGTTGGAACAAACTTATTGTTTGCAGGTCATAAAAAATAATTTAAATGTATGTAATTGGTAACTAAACGATTATATATTTAATGCATGTTATCTATTTACTTTAAAAATGTATTTATAAAAGTTAAAAACTATATAATTTAAGTAAACAAAACGAACAAAACGCACTCAAAAAGTCTACTGTCACGTTAATTGTCAGTGGAACCAAAATTACATCATCACTAATTTAGCGTATTATGAGCAAAAGAATCTTGACGCTAGCCTTGCTCCTGCAAGTGGTTACGTCATCCGAAGTCAGACCATATAAAGCATAAATCCGTTAAAGACACGACTACCAGAAACAAAATCATTGGTCTGAGCTCAGACAAGGCCATCGTTCATAAAATAAGAAGTTGGGTCACTCTCATTGAAGTCTTTGATTCTTTTTGAACATTATTTTGCCAACGAATTTCCGGTAAATAAGTGTTGGTCATCTCTCTTATGAACCGGTTTATGTCCGAGTGATTCTACTAGTCTTGTTTATGTATGATGACAAGGCGTGACTTAACAAATCGCGTCACTGACTTCACGTAGAAGCTAAAAAATCTTTTTTTTTTAATATTCATTCTATTTTCACCCCTTTCAGATCTCATCTCGGCAGGAGTCAAAATATTTGTAATAATCAGTGCTTATTGATTATAATTGAAATTATTTAAATTAACTAAAAGTTATTTGGGAAATTCAGTGTAACCAAAATTATAATTTTCCAAGTAAATGTTTCAAAATTACAGTTTAATTTTGCTACGAAAAGAATGCTGCATATTTTATTTAACAATTCAACCAGACGTAATAAAAACATGACTTATTTAAAACATAGGTTTCTTGACGTTAAAGACCTTGCTGAGTCAATATGTCGCTTGTTTCTTGTTTCCCAAGCTATTGGAAACGGCTGTACTATGTGGACTACGAAACTACACGTGTTACTGAGCCATATTGTTGAACGCAGGTTAGAAATGAAAGAAAAAATTATGTCTGTTCCAGAGAGTAGCAAAGAACACTTCGTGCTTTGATGCGTTCTTGATGACGCCTCATTTGAGGCTCTGGGGTCGTGTTTCGAACTCCGTGAACCAAGGTCCGATGCGATTCAGGTATCTGCATTACCATCCACCTTGAGATTAATAATCACCAACCTTTGGAGTAGGAGTAAGTCGGGCTTAATTTCTATTAAACATAGACTTACTGGATCTATTGTATCAACTCGTAATAGTGTATATTTTCATTGTTAAGTTATTACATCACTCCTCTCTAGTGGTAGTGATGTGCAAATACTGGAATTTCTGTTGTAACGTTATAAATAACGTTTCAGTTTTATTTCCGCAATATTCCTTGGAAAAATATTTCGTCATGCCACTGGTACGAATATTTCCTTAACGTGTTTTTCAACCCCACCCATCCTTAGAAAATCAATGATTTGAGTCCTGTGCGCGATCGGACAATGCAATTTAGTTTTTAAGTCAGCTTTGGTGAATATTCTCTTTCTTTTGGTAGTGTGAGTTTGAACTATCCACTTCTTGTGAATGCTTGGTGATAAAAGGTAATTATTTAATATATTTGGTTATTTAAAATTGCTTCATCAGTGATTACAGGTTCAACATTTCGTTTGTAGATTATTACGTGAGTTTCACGAATTGTTTTGGGTCGATTGGCGATAAAATGTTCTTTCGTTTTTATACCGCTTGCCATGAAAAACGGCCATTTTTAGTATTTTTTTATACCTATATCTAGATGTTTTTAACGAGGTAACTGAATACTTTTGCGAATCTAATCAATCGCCGCAATTTTGTTCTATATTAAAAGTACTTATTTTAGAAATATCATCTTGAAGATAAATATGAAAACATTAAAAAAACTACTTACCGTTTCTTCCATCATTAGCGACAAAGCCTTAATCCTTTCGTTGGCCAAAGCAAGATGATGAGTGGTCTCTAAATGCGTATGTCTCAAGGCGTCCAATTCTCGCTGCACCACAAAAGTCGTTTCTTCCTCTTCGGCTCGACTCACTTGCCCTTTGACTAGTCTATCAGCTAATGCTTTACTCTCCTCCTCTAACATCTCGCAACGATGCCTCAACTGTTTATTTTCCTGACGTAATCTCTGCAAACACATTAACAAGGTAATTCCGATTTTTCGGTTTATTTTGACTAAACGTCCGCAATAAACATTTGGAGGAAGTTTACCGTATAAACAAGTAGATGTAAATTATTTTTCATAAAAATATGAGTATCAGGCTGAATTAGTTTACGAAATATAGTGTGCGGAAATAATACGTGTCAGACATATATTTTTAATTGAAGAATATAGACTAAGATAGTAAGGATACATTGAACGCAAGAAAAATGAGAGAATACGTAAAAGGCTAATAGAATGTGGCATAGGAAACAAGGAAGACCAAAAATAAGATTGATGAATGAGGTGCTGAAAGATGTAAAGTTTTTGATGATCAACAACTTGAGAGAGAAAGCAGAAGATAGGAGGAAATGGAGGAAAATAACCTATCAAGCTTATTAGGTCTGCAGAACTAATAATATATACAGTGATGATGAAAATTATTGTGTATCCCCTCTTAAGATAGAGACATGAAACAAACACGAGGTGAAATTAGAGAGAAATTATGATAATTTTGTTGAAACGAGATGCACGTATTAAGTGCGTTACTATCTTTAAATTTCCTAACGGAAAGTAGGGTCGTGTGATACCTCATTTAAAAAATATTTTCTTTATATGTACATCCATGCAAACAGTTTAAGTTTTTTTTATGATTTTACAGAAATTACATTAAATAAATTAAAGAAGTACGTTACATTCGTTATAACCCTCGTATTTAATATTATTGTTTATTACTAAGAAAACGCTTTTTTACAGATTAAACACAATATTTACTGAAATAAATTAAGAATATCAAAGGTGATCTAAAAACCGCATATGTCAGTAAATAGTGTGCTAAATAGCGGCATAAATAATGTTTTGAAGTTTCTTTAATTTATAAGAAGCTTTTTCTTAGTAACAAAAACAATAATAGTAAATACGAGGGTTGTCAAGAATGTAACTTACTTCATTAATTTATTTGATGTAATTTCTGTACAAACATAAAAAAACCTAAAACTGTTTGCATGTACGTAAAGTGATAAAAATATCTTTCAGATGAGGTATCACATTAGAAAATTTAAAGATATTAAGGAGATATTGCAAATTCCTATAACGTCAGCCACTAATAGTTACAACGTAATTAGAGGCAAATAAATTCCATGCTAAAATAAGCCTGAAGTTTTGACATTAAGAAATTAAAAATTTCAATTTCTTTTTTGTTGTCTATAATAGTGCATAAAATATTTAATATTAAAAAACTTCGAAATGATACGAATGTCGGCGAGGGCACCCGAAAGCTATAAAGGCGTCACTATCTGCCGCCCCTAAAAATCCACAATTAAGGACAGGCACAATCTTAATGTCAGTTCTTGAACTTAAACGATCTGCGCATGCTCAGATGTCAAAATAAAAGCGGCGCTAATAGTGACTGACCTTAAGTGAACTTGCAATATCTCTCTAGTAACACCCTCTATCTTACGCTTCGAGTAAAGTACATCTCGTTATAACAAATATATCATAATAGCTTCGTTCGCGGAACCGATCCCGAACGTATTCCGTATACCCCAACATAAACATTTAAATAATACAAATCCAGTTATTATATACAGTGTAATTTGTACCTAGGCATTCGGAATCAGTATAGGATTGCTACCGCGAACGAAACTAATATCTCTCTAATTTCACCTCGTTTTTTTTTTTTTCATGTCACTATCTTTTTCCATTTAGAAATGAGGATACGTCCGCACTGTATATTAAAGCTGGGCAATATCGCGATTTTTAAGTATCAGTGATACTTGTTCTTGTGACATTCAAATATCAGTGATTTTAAGCTGTGATTTCGTGACAAAAGTAACAGCAAATGGGCAAAAGTTTTCTGCTACAAAATAAGTGTAGAAGTACTAATATTCCGTGGAAACTAACCATCCTTCTTCCTAGTCTATTTTGTCGAAACACAACTACTCGTTCAAAACAAATTAAAAGGAAATTATTGACAAGTTAAAAAATTTATTGAAATATAAAAAAATACTGCTTGAAATGACATATGACAAGTGGCATTATTGATTTGCAAAATTGTCGTTTATCTCTTATGGCTTCAATTAGGCATTCCAAACTGAATGGCTACCAGTGGGTTCTGACGGGTTATGATATGGCAAAATTATGGCAACCCTGTAGGCCTGGTGATTTGACAAGGTCAATGAAATAGATAGTTACATAGATTGATCATCCATATTTTTCAAAATAAACATAAGCTTATGCCTTGAATTAAAAATGTAAGCAATTATTTTTTTTAAATATGTAAAGGCAAAAAATTGGTTTTAAAACACATTTTTGCTAAACCGATTCAAATTAGTAAATATTTGCCAGGCAATATGGCCGCTCGTAAACGACCAGCTTTGAGCAATCTATATAACTATATATGTATCATTTACCCTGTTAATGACAACATGACAACATTGTTGCCATATCTAAACTGTCATTACCAACTGGTAGCCACTTGGACAGGTCGTTGGAATGCCTAATTAGTAAGGTTTTTAGCATAAAATCACCTACATATGGGTATAAGGACACGACTCCTGTTTTATAATTTCGAATATTTTTTTATGGATTCTTACGGTTTCCGGTAGCACAATTGTTATAATGTCGTGACTTCAAAGACACGAGTCGCGGAGAGCTTGTCACCGTTGTAACTGTGACAGAACTATATCAGTGAAAAATCACTGTGACGTGAAATATCGCCCACAAAAACATTACTTTTTATTTGGTAAATTTAAACATTTTTTGTCAAGTTTACTTTGAAAATACTCGAAACCAATTTTCCTGTTAATTTATCTTATTCTTATATATGTTCGTGTCCTGCTCATGCATGGGATTACTTCAAAAAGACCGTTGTATTGGGACAGGAAACTACTGTTTTATCTGCCAAAATTTTTAAATACCGATTTATTTTCTTTGCTTAATGAGGCCCGTTCACCTCGTGGAATTCAGTTTCCTTTTCTTGCGTCTATGTTTAAGAGGAATCTCACAACTACTTTCCTCAAAATGGATAGGGCAATTTCAATTAAGTTTATCCTTTCTTCGATAAGAATTTATCCATATTTTGTGGCATTCGGAAATATCTCCACTGCACAGCCCGGCATTTTAAACGTTAATTTAGTTCTTCCTGTTATATGTAGGAAAATATAGTCACTACTAACACAAAAACATATAAATTATTTTACACTACTCAATCGAAAAGTGTCAAAATAACTTGAAAGTTCGTCCCGCATTACGTCATGCGCGGTTTGGACGAAATTTGAATCGAAAGTCAGCATACCTTTAGTATGTGAATTCTGATAACACCCTTTACAAACTAGATAATTTCAAAAATATATTTCTAAATTCTCAACCCTCCAGCTTTGCTATCTTCAAATTTTGACACTAATAAGTAATTTTCAAAATTTAATCATCTGATGATTTTTCATATCAATATATTTTATTTTATCTAACATTGGTCAAATGTTGTGTATGGGATAATTATGAAAACGACTGCAACTGTAGTAAAAATATATATATACAATCTTACCTTCAATTCTGCCATTTCTTCCTGTTCCTTAGTTTTAATCACAATGTATTCTTTTTCCAATTTCTTCATTTTCTTTGCATTATACTTCACTTCGTACGCTGTGTTCATCAATGAATCTGGGTCGCTTTCAGCATGCGTGGGAAGTTCTTTTTGAAAATACTAAAACAAAAAACCAATAATTCGATAACCAAACAATTCATGTTTAATCAATTGAAATGATTGAAGACTTTTCTTTGTGAATTATTAATATATTATTCTGAAAATATTTATAGATATATTTAAGTCTTAAGCATAGATGTAGATTCATTTAATCTAACAACCTGAGCATTAAAAAATTTTCTTTTTAAGAACATCTACAAGGTCAAGCATAGTAAATATATTTAAGATTATTTAACCACAGAGATTAGTTTCCGCAAAGCCACAATGTAATGTTTTTGTGATTTAAAAATATTAATGTTTTTATGGACATTTATAACTTTTAGTAGAAGCAACTTAATCTAATAATTTATTTATGTTCCTATTATTTTCTTAGTTTTTTCCTACTTTATAAACTGCAATGAAATAAAATATACAAAAACTGAATTTGGATATTTTGTAGTCAAAATTAAGGGTTTTTTTAGCTAAGTAGTCGAAACAAGGTGACCCTTGCCTGGTTGTCAGGCCATAAGGGAGGATATCAATCAGGGCAACTACAAGGCCCACGAATTAACCCAAAAAGGCTCAGATAAGGCCATGCCAAGCCCCGAACCCTTTTGTGGAGTTGCTAAGGCATTGTGCAAACAATGGATACAAAAAGAGTCTTAGGAATGGAGGAACAACTATCCAAGACTGAGACAGGGCAAACAGTTCATCAAGAAACCATCTGCCAAATTCACGAAAGACCTAGATCAAAAACGTCAAATCGTTAGAATAACAGTAATCTTCTTACTGTCGCACATGAATGACATCAATCCAGCAGAAAAAGCAACAGTGTGCAGGTTCTGTGAAGAAGAAGAAGAAACATTAAACCACGTCCTGTGCCAGTGTTAAGGCCTCGCTAGAATGAAGTTTCTAACATTAGGCGAAGAAAAGCCAAATGCATGCAACTACATGCGGGAGCCATTGTCAAAGCTACTAAGTCTAATAAAACAGACCAAGGTAGATGACATACTCTAAAAAACGGAATCCCACAATAGATCTGAAAAGTACGCGGTGGACAAGGGACAAATAATGTCCAACTCCTTTTAAATCTAATATACCAATTTTCTAACTACCCTCGTAAAATGTGTGTATTTAACAGTACCAAAAATAGAAGGTGGCTAATAAACAGCAAATTTGAATCACTTATGACATATTTTCTACGACGCTTCTTCTTAATTTTTGTTTTTATAAACTATTCAAATCTTAAATGAAATCTTTGAAGTAATAATTCAATTGTAAACACTTACATTCAATAAATTCAACATTGTTATAATAATTATATATCATTAAAATGACACAAATTTAAATGCATACGGTTTCCAAACAATTTTGATAAAAATATTGGAATCTTTCCTTTATCTAAACTACGATAAATACGAACAAAACGTATATACGTAGTATACAAAAATAAAACGCAAGTATGATATATTTATTTATATCTTATCAGTAGTCTAGTGTTTTAGCTATCTATTTTAAACATTTTGGGGAGGTAATTGTGTTTTGTAACGCATTTCTACAAATTAATATCATAACATTGCAAAATATTAACAAAGAAATTTAATATTAATTGTATTAATTAAAAATTTAATATAATTAAGAGCACTTACTTGTAAACACAACTCCTAAATATGTATATTTATTTGTCGTATAGACTTCAGATCAATTAAAAGTCAGTTTAACTTTTTTCTGTTAAAATTTCTCTCTTGAAATTACATTATTTTAGTTTTGTATTTACCTGCAGCTAGGGGCGGTTTTCTCCATTGGTTTATTTGTGCAGTGAACACCCAATTATATTTCATAAAAATACATTATTTTAAATAGAAATTTAATTTCAATATTTTTACTTTCATACGTGTTAATCTATATTTTTGGTACATCATTGCCCTCTGGCTGATCGCGTCTCTGTGGCACAGTATACTTTATCTGTGAGCCTAATACGAGTGAGACGATTTGGCGAATGCATATAGCTAAAAAGAGAAGACAAAACGTCAAAAGATCCTTCAAACTGCAAAAGAACACATAATTGACGCGCCGCTCACAAACAAGGTTGCCAAACCAGTGTTGCTAGTCTAGTACAATTCACAATTGCACTAGATGCAGTACATTCTGCGTGCATCACTGTTCACGTGTAAAATATATACATTCGTCGCTGAGCTACGAAAACCTCGTAAGCAACACAAATATCTAAACGGGGTTTAGGTGTTAATTTGAACACAAAGCTGTCTGGCTTGAGATGCGAAAAGCTCATAACGTGCCGACCAATAGAATGTATATTATTATATAATAACTAGATAGGAAAGTCATGCGTTGGACACATCAGATTTTTTAATTTCAACTAAGTCCACCAACAAAAATAAAAAGTCCCAAATGATAAATTATATTTCACTTAACGGCCCATGACCGGGAGATATAAACCTCATTGGTCCTGTATCTCCTGACTTGAACGTTAAGTTGTTAAAGGCCTGGTTTACACCACACATACAACTTTATAGCAACCGTGAATACTAGGATAGCTACTTTTGTCAAAGTTTTTACACAGTTGCTATAAAAATAATACAACTTGTAAGTGTGGTGTAGATCAGGCTTTTAACAACTTAACCTTCGAGTCGCAAGTGCCGGGACTTCAAGTTAGGTGTAATTTTATCATTTGGAAATGGTTACATTTCGTTGGTGGACTGGTTTGAAATTAAAAAAAAAAACTTAAAACAGCAAAATGTATTATGCAATTTTATCTCAAACAGATCTGCAGGCCTTCTGACGATTTAAGAGGTAGTCATCCCTATATACATCTCACCTGAAAGGCAGCATCTGGAGGATGCATAACTAATGTAAGGTTACATGTATCTTACAGATACAGATTACAAGCAATAAATAGTAGGTTTTGCTGAAGTCTTACTTTATTCCTAAAACAAATCATTCTAAAAAAATATGATAAGGTCCAAGTATCTTATCAATAAACATACCTACTATTAATTTATTGATATATTTATTATCCAAAGATCCATACTTCTGTCTTAACAACTAGTTGTTATGCTTAACCACCAAGAATATTTGAAATCCAATTTTATAACAGATTTTACTTTAGAGAATTCTGATTTTTTCAAAGTGGTAACATAACGACTGACCTTGGTCTAAGCCACTTGCTAGTTAGCAACTGCATGAAACAGAATAGGCTACAAACGGAAAAATTTGATTATTCTGATAAGGTAACTACTTGACATCATTATGAAAATGTACAATAAACGTTTAATAAACATAAAGAGACAAATGGTTTTTCACTTTAAAAGTCTGAATCGAAAAACCAGTTAATTTAATATACTCATAACGAAAAACTTTACCTTAGATTTAAATAGTTTCTATAAATTTATGTTTGCCTGTAATTATCAATCGTGTTACCCTCTAGCCTAGATTGTGTGTTGCATACAAACCTGAAATCTTTTATTTTAATGACATTTTTTTATTGCATTGTTTGTATAATTTAATATTTTCAAAAATATTAGATGTATTGGTAATTTGGATCACTGCAGGTATTAAATAAAAATAAGGCTGTTGGTAAATTAGTTTACAGTTAGTAATAAAGTATGTCTCGAAAAGAGCAATAAGTATCAAACATAAATTTTGATTTTGATTAGGCACTTAACAAGTCACATCCCACACATCTACATGCTCTGGGCAATCAATCCTATAAGTACATATCAAAACATTAATATACTGTCTACAATAATTTGAAAATACAGATGAAGCTGATTTACCTATTTAGACAAAATTACTATTATTTTGTTATTTATTGAAACACATTATTTTTTAGTAAACATAGTCATGCAAACGTCAGCAATGAAGGTAGGACAGTAGCGAGAGCAAGAATATTTTGGGATGTGCTGTGAAATATACTTAGAAAGGGCCATATGGAGAATTAAATGTGATAACATTTTACGATGTGTATATCACTATTTTAGTTCACAGATATTTGTAAATGTTCAATTATGTGCTGCTATTTCAAACTTTTAGTATCCGTTGATAAAATAAGTTATATTATCGTTGACCTCTTTAATGTTTATTTTACCTTATACATTTTTTATATATGTATATATTTCGTTGTGCTTAAAGTAAAAAAAATTAACATATTCTTCTTATTTTTTCCATGATCCTACCTTTTGAAGAGACTATTTTGTTTATTATATTTTAGAATTATTCAATTATTATTAGTATGTTTTTTCATTTTTTGTTAATTTTCAATAATTCTTTTTTATTTAAAATTTAGATTTGTTTATTAATTTAATGGTATTGTACAAATAATACATAATTATTGGGATGAATGAATGCAGTCAATAGCCTTGACCTGTTGGGTATATAGCAAACTCAATAAAGAACGTTTTATTATATCTTCTTTATTTTATTTTGATAGAATATATAATATACATCAAAGACCACAGACCAATATACATCAATTCTAACAATTTTGCTAGTAATTATGGACAAACGTTTTTTAAAATTTCTACACTTTTCTTGCAGGACTTTGTCAATACATTCACTCAATGTTTCTTCGATGGTTTTGGGGGATATAATTTTGCTGTTTTGCTGATACAATTTTTTGTGGAGGGTACATTCCATGTGAAAGCCTTAACTGACATATTTAATTCCCAAAAAGGGATAGTATTGCAATAAGATAGCTTTGGATTCATATAGGACAAGTATGCAGAGATAATGTAAGTTTCCAAAAGAAGGTATTGAACAAAGAACAAACAAAAATTGCTTATGGAATTTACAATGTATTTCTAATTTGGAAACTTGTATTAAGCTCTGTTTCGGATTCAGGGGACCTCAAAACGTAAAAATCCGTCGAAAACTCGAGGTCGAAAAAAATCATGATTCCTATACTTTCCTTATATCTGTGTACAGATAGGAAAGTAAAAATGAAACTCTATAAAAAGAGATAAAGCCTACTGATTCTGAAAAAATCTGAATAAATTGGGGAGTTAGAGAGGGTTAAAATATTAAAAAAATCTTAACTAAAAAACGAAAAATGATATTAACTTGAAATTTTTAGCAAACATCAAGCTCTATAAGGAGAAGAAGCCATTTGATTTAAAAAAAAAATTGAGGTTAAGGGGGGGGGGGGGTTGAAAATAAAATCGAGTCATAAATCAAAAATGAAAAGCGATATCAACATGAAATTTTTAGTAGAAATCAAGCTCTATAAGGAGGTGATGTCTATTGATTGTGGAAAAAAAATTAAAAAAAAAATGGGGAGTTAAAGGGGGTTGAAATATTTAAATTAAATCTAACTCGAAAACAAACAATATCAACTTGAAATTTTTGGAAAATCTCTACAAAGCTCTAAAAAATATTTTATTTAACATGTGTGACAAATTCTGAAAATGATTAAATTTACAATAAAAATTGAAAAAAAGTAGGTAAAGTTTCATAATAATATTTTTTACACAAAAATCAATGTCAAGCTTTCTACATTTAAAAATAATCTCAAAATACGAAAAAAGTCAGTTGACTAACTAATAATGCTTATAGATGGTTTTCAACGCATTAAAAACAAAACAAATATTACAATAAATAAAACATTCATTTATTCATTCATTATTATTTGTAGTGCTTGAAAACAGTATGATATTGATGATGATAATTATATCTACACTTGTACAAGGTTTTGAACCGAACTTACAAATGATAAAATTATTGGAAAAAGTGAACACCATTTTTAATTACCACAAGCCGCCACTGGTTTTGTGATTACCTGTAGCTGATTTAATTTAGTACAATCCTTTAAAATTTTAATTTTTTTGCTTCGACAATTTCTGATTTAGCAAGAATTAATTACAAGCAAGGTCTCACCAGTTAATACTATCAATATTTAAACATTATAAAAAAATTAATTTGATATAATTTAAAAAACTTACCTTCAACATTCCCTCCATATCCAAAGACATTAACTCCTCTTTACCCAGCATCAACATGGCAAGCGCCACCTTGAAAATAATTTCCATTCCTTCGGAGAGAAAAACGTCCATTATCCTGCAGGCGAGGGGTAGCGAGAGAGCGGTGGTAAACAAAGTCAAGAACCAACTCGAGGCGTACATCGAAGTGTGAAAATTTTGAGATTGAAAATGCTGATTGAGATCAGGTAAGTGCTCGGAAACAAGATTTTCTAGTTGATACATACAAAGACCGAGTTCAGCCATGCTGGGTTTAAACATATCCCGCATTCGATAGTCCTCCATGATTCTGACGAGCACAGCGAACGCTTCTTCTTCTGGCATCTGGGATGAAAAGAAAGTGCATAATAAGTTTAAAGATAGTAAGCAATTTTAATAATAGTTTGATACTTTTTTAAATGGCGCAGTCAGAATAAAATGGGATAAGTTTACTGTAAAACATTAAGTCGACTTAGAGTTTTCAGAGAAAGTACTAAATAGAATAATATTAAATTTTCTAATGTATAGGGTGTAAAAATAGAGAAAATCGAGTACAATTAATGTTATTTTTATAGAATGAAAATCGCTATGAAATCTGAATATCGTCGGTTGAGAAGAATACTATAATTCTATTAGTTTTGAGTATTTCGCATTTGAAAGTTTCATTACCCTATAACTGAGACAATTCTAGGCAATGTTTGTTCCCCATACAGCTTTCCTAGGAAATAGGATAGTACTGCACAAGCTAGAATTAAATAGGACTTAAAATATTATGTCAATTACTTATTTTTCAAAAAAAAAATGGACATAGTACAGTTTAAATGGACATAGGAAAGTTTTCTTCTCACCAGACGATATTTGTTTCGGAAACTCTATTTAAAAGAAAATAGGTACCTTCTTTCTTTTGGAAATATAAAACAACATTAAAAAATTACCACTGTTTTTTATTAAGTACTTAAAGCTAGATAGGCTCAACAACTTTAACTAAAATACAAATAATATCGTTTACTATTTCTTTACATTTAAAAATCTACGAAACTAACAAGGATGATTTTTTAGAAACTCTTTTTACTTCGGTCAGTTTCCTTATTAAGATTAATTTTGACTTGGTGTATTTTCACAACTATATTCAACAAACAACAGAGAACCTGAGAAAGGGAAAGAAAATATAAGAAATATATAAGCAAGAAAACTGAAGAAGAAGAAGAAGAAGAAGAAATGAGGAAGAACTAAAGAAGAACTGAAGAAGAACTGTAGAAGAAGAACTAAAGAAGAAGAACTGAAGAAGAACTGAAGAAGAACTGAAGAAGAACTGAAGAAGAACTGAAGAAGAACTGAAGAAGAACTGAAGAAGAACTGAAGAAGAACTGAAGAAGAACTGTAGAAGAAGAACTAAAGAAGAACTGAAGAAGAACTGAAGAAGAACTGAAGAAGAACTGAAGAAGAACTGAAAAAGAACTGAAGAAGAACTGAAGAAGAACTGAAGAAGAACTGAAGAAGAACTGAAGAAGAACTGAAGAAGAACTGAAGAAGAACTGAAGAAGAACTGAAGAAGAACTGAAGAAGAACTGAAGAAGAACTGAAGAAGAACTGAAGAAGAACTGAAGAAGAACTGAAGAAGAACTGAAGAAGAACTGAAGAAGAACTGAAGAAGAACTGAAGAAGAACTGAAGAAGAACTGAAGATGAACTGAAGAAGAACTGAAGAAGAACTAAAGAAGAACTGAAGAAGAACTGAAGAAGAACTGAAGAAGAACTGAAGAAGAACTGAAGAAGAACTGAAGAAGAACTGAAGAAGAACTGAAAAGAACTGAAGAAGAACTGAAGGAGAACTGAAGAAGAACTGAAGAAGAACTAAAGAAGAACTGAAGAAGAACTGAAGAAGAACTGAAGAAGAACTGAAGAAGAACTGAAGAAGAACTGAAGAAGAACTGAAGAAGAACTGAAGAAGAACTGAAGAAGAACTGAAGAAGAACTGAAGAAGAACTGAAGAAGAACTGAAGAAGAACTGAAGAAGAACTGAAGAAGAACTGAAGAAGAACCGAAAAAGAAACGAAAGAGAACCGAAAAAGAACTGAAAAGGATCTGAAAAAGAACTAGAACTGAAGAAGAACTGGAACTGAAGAATTACTGGAACTGAAGAATTACTGGAACTGAAGAAGAACTGGAACTAAAGAAGAAATGAAGAAGAATTGAAAAAGAACTGAAGAAGAATTGAAGAACAACTGAAGAACAACTGAAATAGAACTCAAGTTATTAGCCCACAAAAGTTGAAATAGCTAATAGCTAGGACATGATCAATGTTTAGAAAAAAACGAGTTATCAAGCAGTTTTACGAACAGGTAATGAAGTAAAAAAGGATAAAGGTTGTCCGAAGCAAAAAACAATGAGAAGTTGTGTTAGAAGAGAAAGAGATTGGAGAAATTTAGCTATAGGTATAGTCTGTTGTAATTTATAGTAGAAAATCATCTCGCTTTACACATGAAGGAAGGTTGTGTCTTAGCCGGAACAGGGACAGTGCTCCCAAATGGACTTTAAAAATTAATGTTTTCTGTTTGGGGAACGAACATGATAATATTAATATTTCGTAAGAATGTTTGTCAGATTATATTGTGTAATGAAAAAGGTTAATGACTATGAGGTATCGGAAAAAAATAATTGATGAATTGAAAATTAAGAACTTAAAATCTCTCAATAATATTAAAGGTTTAATAAACAATTGTATTATTAATTTTTCAAAAAAACGCTGAGACAAGTCGATTTATATTTTCTTATTCGGAAAAACAGATTGTCTCAATAACATTGTAATAAAAGTGAAAGTACCTGATAAAAGTGCAAGGTACCTGTAGGATTAAAACATTCAATTTCAGGGTGTGCATTTTAACTAGCGGATTAAGGAAACGGGTAGTATTCACGATATACCCAACTAAACGAAATGCAAATACGTTAAGTTTTTTAGTTTTCCTAAAGACCCTAACCTTCCCAAAAAGTAGTTGCATCTTAGTAAAAGGAAAGATAAACTTAATATAAAAAACCTTTCCCTTAAGATTCGTGCCAAAAATCCCAGAGACCAATTTTACAGCAAAAGTAACGCGCAAAGTAAAGATACATGAAATTAGTCATTTATATTTTTTAATATTTTTCTAATCTGAATCTTAATAAATATCTTTTGTATTAAACATTTTGTTATAACAAATGCGTTACAGAGAATATAAGCACTTCCATCTCCCTAGTCACGTCATGCGCGTGACAGACGAAAACTGAACACGGGAGCATCCGGCCCTGGGTAGTATTGGTGTGGAATTTACCTCATCACTTTAGTTTATGCGATTTGGTCGAGGTTTCGGTACTATATACTTAAAATATGTAGTGAAAATGAGTGAGTTAGTTAATGTGCAACAGTGTTCTTCCGAAAAAAATTTGGACAGTGCAAAAAAAATGTTTTTCATTTTTCGTAAAGACGAAGCCAAGGAGAATGCGAAAAATTTCGTAATACATGTAATAATATTTACTATTACCAAATTTTCGCAAATATTTATTCAAATTATTTATGAAAAACTACTAAAAACGCAGTTTTTAGTGAAAAGTGAAAATTCTTTTAATTCGTACTAAAACAAATTCAGAAAATCAAATTACTTAAATCTTTATCTTTTTATTACAGTTTTTAATCATAAACAATTGTTCAATTTGGATGAGATATACTCAGTAGTAAACTTTGGGGCGCTCTTGGCATTAAAACTATTAATTTTACAAGAAAAAGGTAACCACATAAATTGTAGGAAATTTTCTCTAGGTTAGTAGGTAATATTTTCAAAATAGTTTTTGGGCGCAATTTTACCAATATGGCGGCGCGAACGGCAAAGATACGAGGCCCCTAGGTGGAAATTCGAAAACAACGAAATCTATAAAAATGCCAATTTTCTAAATATATTGGATTTTAATACTGAGTCTTATTTACAGGTTTAAAAAATGAATTGTCTTCCACCGAAGCCCTAAAAGAGACTGTTTTTTTGACAAAAGTACCATAGTCAACTGTATACAACATTTTACAGAAAGTGGCGCCACCTAAAAAGGTGCGAAAAGATTCTGGTTCATCTCATTCTAGTCCACAGTTTCTTTTAGAACCAATATATAAAGAAAAAAATTAAAAAATAGTAAAACACTGAAGATTTGGAAGATAATATGTAAATCTAAAAGTCACGGACATCTAATGCCTGCACTGGTGAGTGATATACAGTGTCAGCCAAAAAGTTTGCACCATTCTATTACTAAGTTTTCACAACAAATTAGGCCCCTGCAAGATGTATTATTCAAAAATCAAAATTTATCTGTCATAAAAGGAGTGTGACTGAAAATATAAAGTTAGTTCAAAATTCTTTTAATAAAAAAAAAAAAGAATTATCATGCCATATAAACAACATTTTTCATTTTATATTCGCCCTATTTGAATTCTCTAAGGCATGAATCATTACGCTAATGGAAAGCACATTTTTATTAGTGGTTTTTAAATTATTAATTAATTATATTTCATTGTTATACAAAAGCACAAAAAATATATAAATTCACCAACTTATAAATTTACATTTTTATTGAATACATTCAGTAAAAGTTACCATGACTTTCAGAGTAGTAAAGAAATAAAAAATAAAATACATCAATAGTTAATCAGCGATCAATTATCACGTATAGGGTACATGGATTATATTCATTAACAGCGGCCTCATAATTTACGATATTTTGCATATTAATTGCTCTGTAAACTGATGTGTCTCAATTCTATTTTACAAGGAATTTCTATGGAAAGTAAAGGTGTAATCCGGAATATTTTACAATAATGTCGCCTAGTTTATGTATGTTTCAAGCATTCAAGATTATATTTTGTATAGGAAGCTTTCGCAACACAACACGACACGAATGAAGTCACAATTCCTTATTTGACAAAGAGGGTTCATCCGCTACTTTCTGAATATTAAACTTTAGATCTTGCCAACTGAAATATGATCCGTTTTATATTATTTTATGTGTCGTATTAATTTTAATTTTGATTAGTTTCATTTCATAATAATGTATAAATAAATAATAGTATCAATATAATCGGTAACTACCCTAGAGCTTATACTGAGGATAAATATTTCCGAATGAAAAAAAAATCGATCTAATTTTAAGTATATTGTCAAAATTCAGAATGAACTATATTTTCGTATTATATTATGGTGTACTGATTCCAAATTTCTTTTGACTTGAAATCTTTTTGTATATAACATGATTAACTGAACATAATACATGGAACATTAACCGAAAATACTTTTTATTAGGCTTTTAAATGTTGAAAATATATAATTCGCA